CAATGAACTGCCGAGCGGCACCTTCATCTTTTGACGGGTAGATCTTCTTAATTTTTTGAAATGCTGTCTGTTGTTCTTCTGCAGAGTGATTTGTCGACCAACAATTCGCCTTCTTACAAATTAAACAGCGCTTAGCCCAAGAGGATGAGGCACTTGACTCTTTTATTCTACTATTGTTTTTGTCTCTTTCATAAAAATGTCTATCACTCCGGCCTCTTCTAGATCCCCGAGCAGTTTGGTACTGACGCTCTACCAGGTAGGCATTACCAGTTTCCTGAAACTCATTGAATTCATGCTGCGGGTATTGGCTGGTGGCTATACCTGATGAAGAAAGTTGCATGAAACGAGCTCGGATATCGGCGCTAACACCTTCAGCAGTCTTTGCCGGGGAGAATAACACAAAGTGTAAATCGACCACTCCTGAATGTGCTTCCAGTCCTCTTTGAACGCGCCTTAACTCTCTTTCGAGATTATTAAATGCTTGGAGCTTGTCTGGAAATTTTCGAATTTCTTTGATCAGATTGAGAGTATTCCATATCGTTTCCCGTCTATTTACCCATTGGACTGTCTCGTAGTGTGACTTTTTTAAATCACAACGCTCGTCAAATGACATGTCCTCAATGTGCATTGTTAATTCCAGATATTTTTCACTAGCATCTCCGGCAAACATTATAGCTAACGCATCTTTAAAGTATCTTTTCTAGACACAAGCATTGTTACAATTATTGAAAAATATTTTTCGCTTGTAGTCGAAACTGTCAGTCCCATCTCTATATTTATCCTCATTGTCACGGTTTCGAGGGACAAGTGCTGGGGCAACTATGTGGTCGATAGTAGTAAATAATAATTCTAAGGAGAGAACTTCCACTACATCTATCTATTCATTTATATACGTGAAAGCCTCCTCGCCACCAAGGCTAATCCCTCTCCTGTTCCTATGCTATGGGACTCCCCTAGTGTTCTGACTATGCCTGTAATACAGCACTATCGCGTTATGGTCCGGAAGGATTGTACTCGGTCTCGTATATTCCTAGTCAGTGTAAGCCTATCAACATGTGGTGCAGTGCCGTACTGCCGTGCCGCCGTGCCGCACTGCCGAGTCCGATGCCATGTGAATACCATGCAAATGCCGACGCAAAAGTATTGTATTGGGTGGCGTCGCATATTAGCGCATTGGTAGCCATTAATAACGCCACTCGAATCAGGCCTAAGTTAACCAACATAGGCTACAGGGACCAATCGGTTTACCAGCCGTTACACTCATCTTTGTACATTCTGATGAGAGACTCCAATTACCTACTTTTATGAAGTGGACGATCCTCCCATGGAAGAGAATTATCTTTTTGTGGGTATAGTTGCTGTTTGGGTGCATATGACAAAGAGCGATTGTCTCTTTCATTACTGCTGCCTCCATATTTATTTCCCTTGTCTCCATGACTTGTAGGATCGCTGTAGGTTTCTTCTTCTTTCTCCTTAACTGGAACATCTCTATTTTCTTCTTTAATTTCCCTATAGATGTTTCCTTTCGTCCTTTCATAATCCAACGCTGCTTGAATTGTACGTTCGTATTCCTTGTAGCTTGGGTATTTTGGGTCGCACCGTGAGCTTACCCCTAATGGGTTTCTTTTGATAAAATGCGATTTCTTCGGGAGTCCATTCATGGAATTCATCTCTCTTAAATTCTGCTGCAAGTTGTCGATCAATATGTTTTCCCTTCGGATTTGGTGTCATAAAAATTCCTCGAGAAATGAGATAATCTCGGAATTCTCTCCTGAGTTCTGAGTCAACTTAACTAAAGAGATCAACATCCCAGCCCTCGAAGTCTTCTACCCATCTTTCCCACAGAGGATCATCTCGTAGACCTTTCGCTCTATAGAGATCCAGTCTATTCCGAACATAAGTTGTTATTGCTTCGTCAGAGTCGAATTTAGGTGGAGTAGAAGAGGATGGCTTGAGAGACATTATTTGTTTGATTTTTGCGTGATAGACGCGAAGCAAGACTAGCGAATTTCTCCTCGTTAATGCTTGAATAAGAAAGTGCGTTAATGGACGCGGAAGTAAGAAGAGAAAATACTTAAAACTTCTTAAATTTGACACGTCGGAGCTCAGTTCAGACAGGGTCGACGACTCCAAGGGACGTTCCTTCTTATGAATACCGCGTATGGATCTGTGACCGATAATTTAGATCACTGATCAGTGTCGGTTTATCACCGGTTCTAGTTAATGTGCTAGCACAAAGATTTGACAAAATGGTTATTGATCAAAACGTATATCTATATCTATCTCTGTATCTAACAGGAATAATGAACGGAAGTAAACCCCAACGCTGCACTGACACCACGTGACTAATATGCGTAAATTTCCCCATAGCTTCTCTACCAACGCCAATATTCACACAGGAGTTTTGACAGATACTGGTTTTGGGACAGACTCTTGATTGATGAATTCTGTTGGACAAAAAACAGGAACTACTGGATTTGGCAACCTATTTAAAACTCTCATTCCACTTACAGGTTGCTCTGCATGAGTGGTTGGTGCAATTGGTGCATTAGTCCTCAGTATTTGAGCATACGAGAGTATAGTTGGTACTGGTACTACTGGTACCTCTTTTGGTGTTAATAGCTCACTTGGTGAAGCCACATTTTTTTGCATAGAGTTTGGTCTGAGTCTACCATCCTCTATATAATTTAGAAATATCTCAACAAGATCTAAGACAGCATCTAAGACAGCATCTTGCTTTCCTTTATTTTCTGACAAGCTGTATGCTTTGACCGGTAAATTTCGAGCCTCTTGAATAGCAGTTAGAAAGGTTTGTTGCTTAGTTATTTTTGGCCCTTCAAATTGAATAATTTTCCTGGAAATAATAACAGGTTGAACAGATTCAGGTGATTTCCTTTTCTTTAGCTTCATCTGAGGCAATTTTTCCTCTGTAACTTTTGGCTCCAGATCCTGTGCAGTGATAAGGTCACTGCTGAATGGGTCACCTTGAGAATTTTTTGTAAAAATATTTTGGGATGAATTTGGCAAATTCACTTTTGTTGATTTTTTTGAGCTCTATATTGAGTCTGAAAGTCTTGCCACATTTTTAAAATTGAATGATTTTTGAGTGGGTGGGGAAGAGGGAAAATTCAAAGGTAAGGCAGAAGAGTCTAGACTCATCATAAATCTTGATTTTTTTTTCTTTTATTTCTTTTAATTGCTGATTTTTATGATAAAGAGATTTGTTTTTAAATAAAACTGAAGTTAAATTTGAATTTTGGAAATAACGTGACCAATGTTAGATCACCTGATCACGCGTCGCGCGTCGCGCGTCAAGCTTTGGCAAGGCTGGGGTGAAAAAAATTTCGTCCAGAGGGTCGAAAATCGGTTTTTGGCCGAAAAATATTGCAATATGGGGATGCAAATGTCAAAAATTATATCAATGGGATACTGTGGATAAGGCGAAACCGAATATCGATATTTAAAGGGTGTAGCTGATGGTGGGCAGAAGTTGTTGATGAAAAGGCGTGGGAGTTTACCTGTAGATAGATAAAGACGTTGTAGCCCTCTGATAGTTGGGACAAGTCTTCTTTAATATTATATCGGAATCAATACTAGCCTCTCATTACGCAATATCATGAATTATTTCCAATTTCTGTGATAACAGACGTACTTAAACAAAGTCGACGAACAATTTTAAAGTCGATAATGACTCATTAGACCTCTGTATAGGCCTCGGCTCATTTCATGCAAATCTATTCTTAAATGACAAATTTAGATTGCAGACACGACAACTCGGCTACCAGTTGTGAGTCATCTAAGTCACGCGCATCATGAGCTATTTTAGTATCTGAAGTGCTAACATTAAAATGAGACTGGATGTTAGAATATGATTCCTTTAGACGGGTGATATAGTAGTACTGGAAGTAGAACTGATAAAGTATAGGGTTAACAGAACGTGTAAATTACTCTGCTCATTCAGCACTTAGGAAATTCTGCCACTATGCTCCTACTAATATGTGTCCACCAGCCTAGTTAACACGCTATGAAGGGACTAATTATAAAGGGTATATAAAATCTCCAAACGCCTTACACTTATACTCCTAATTTAAAATTTACCACAACCCTAACTCCATTATGTCGAGGGTATAAGAATGATTATGTTTGACCAAGGCTTTTGTAATATAGCACTGGATTAAAATAGATGGAGATGCTAGTGTTTGTCGGCGGACAGGTTATGATCCATTTTGAAAATGACAAGAAATGAAGGAACGAGGTCGTAGTCTTGTTAATAAATAGGAGCCTCTCAGTCATGTCTATGCTTATTTTTTTAAGATTTTCATTTGTATCTAGCTCTGAGTTCAGTTTGAGTAAAACGCCACTTTAAGACCGTCACAGGAACGAGCCTATATCCCTTAGTCTATCCTACTTTTTTAGGAACCCGATCAAACACCGAGCTGTGTTTTGGCATGAAACTCCCCATGAGATACCATCCTAGGTTGCACCACGTCTATTCATAAAAGTAACGAAGGACTACAGATACAAAACTTGATATGGGGAGGGGGTTTTATCGTAATGGTTTCCCACTCATGTGCATATGTAGTTAGGTTTATAGACACCTGCTTGGGCCTACAGGACGCAATATCAGAAATATGAATTCAATTTCAAACTCAAATAATATTAAAAGAATTTATAAATTTTATCCCGTCCGTGCTAGTTCTGACAGTAAATCACAAAAAATTGATCCAACAACCTTTCTAAAATTCAAGGAAAAAAGCCGTTAATCCGGGCCCAGATTTTGGGTTTAAGTTTATAACTGCCCATAACAGTTAGAGAATGTAAGAAGTTTTTGCAAGGTAAACTTACTCTCACGTCTAATATTCTGGGTTCCATTCGTCTCATCTCACTGTATATGCTGCTACTTGCCTTTTTCTCGCGGTATCAAGAAACTGAAATCCTTCCTTCCGCTTCAGATTCAATCCAGGATCCACCAAAGTTCAACACGTCGTGACCAACCCCAGTCAATAGCCGTATTGTGGCACTCCCATCCTTCCTGGGTAATATTGAGGGCCAGGAAAGCCATTGTACAGTGGGTTTCCTGACTGAGGATAGTGGGGATTGGGAACGTAGTTTGACGGTGGTGGATGTGGTGGCACTGGTGGATGTTGAAAATGGTACGTGTTTCCATGTGGCCGTGAATGTTGAGGCGGATATGCATTCACGAATCCTCCATGGCTCATATAGCCAGGACTGACCTGACTATATGGCGCTGGAGAAAACACTCGATTTTTTGGGTAAGACGAGTGGTGAATCCAGTGGTTGTCCGGCAAGAAGTGCTGGAAGCCATTGGAATTTTGCCCCACAGACCGGGACTCACAAGAGCTCTCCGAATGTTGCTTCAGCCACGCTACTCGTGACCTTTCTTTGCGGAGGTCATTTTTCATGCCGTCAATTTTTGCAAGCAACTCGTCCTCCTCCCGTCTGAGATTCTTGACGTATTTCCGAAGCTTTACATTTTGATCAGACAGCTCCCGTTCTTTCCTCTTCTCATTTTGAATTCCCGTCCTTACATCGCCGAGAAGTTCTTTCAGGTACGCCACGTCTAGTACTTCGTCTTTGGGTGTCTCTGTGTAAGCATAATAATCAAGGGGTAGTTCATATTTTTTCGTCTGCTTACCAGGTCCGTGACTCTTCGTACCAGGCGCAAAGCGTGTCTTTTTGGTTACGCAAGAGGGCATTTCTGTTCCTTAGAATGGAATTGAAAGAAGCTTGGTTAATTTGTTGGGCTGATGAAAAGCTAGATTATTTGGATTTCTTTTGCTGCAGATGGAAGCTGGATTAATTGGGGGTTGTTTGTGAGGACTGGCAAAGGAGGAGCTTGATATAAGTACTCCCGTCTTGATACTCAACCGGCAAGTAAGAAAGAATGACTCTATTTTAGCCCTGCTGATATCTACCCCTTGATTGCATTCAAAGTATTCATTTCTCTTTGTGAACCCTGATTCTATTCAGGCTTGAATGGGGCTATATTTGGCAGTCGGTTCTCAAAGGCCATCCAGTTTCCATCAAAGAAGCTAGTGTCGATCATCCGTCTGCGTAAAGCATCAAGGCCATCAAAGCCATCAAAGCCATCAAAAGCGGGACTCCACGTTCAATGGCATGTTGTGAGTCACCACCAATAGCTCTTTTAGATTTAACTGCTCTCGTCTCATGCCCTGTGCCAGCCTAGTATGGAAGTCCATTAAACTTCTTCATTGAAGGTTGTCAGCTACTATGATTCACAGCAACATACATCGAGCCGATGGTGAACTCTTGTCCTATCATTCAACTTTTACTGCACCGCCCTTTGAACCCATGAATTCCCTTTACTGTGCTCCTCGTGATAGATATACATGGGAGAGCTTTGAATGAGTCACCTTCCGTTGAAGTTATTGCTGCCTGATATTCGGACTCGCTTCTCAATGTTCGATTCCGGAAGTCATCAATTGGTTCTGATTGTCGCGTTGAACTAGTCCTGGTCATGGTCTATACAAGCATATCATGTCGATAGTGAATGCCGCTGCACCTATCGTGAGTTTATATCCAGCCAGCTATGAAGAGTGCAGATCTCACTAAGCCCTTGCTTTCTGTACACGTATGCAGCCTGCACGACCCACTCCTCCCGTAAGTGTCATCAATTCATGGATGTTGAGCGCGAAAGAATCATCTGTAGACTATCGTATCCAAGTCTTTCCCTTGCTAAAATTACGACTGCTACACCGCCTATGTGTAAATCCCCTGCTCAGTCTTCTAGAGAAAAATACTCGGTCTAGATTTTGTATATCTCTAATGCCGTCAAGCACAAGCATGCCTCTACCCTCACGATACGAGATCTTTGAGAGGCAGAAACGACCGTCAACTTTAACCATGCCAGCGACAAAGAAGGCGGTTCTGCTGTAAACATGACGCATACTGTCGCCTCAGCTGCACACTCCATCATCTCAATCGAGGAGAAAACCTAATGCGGAGCGCTCTCGACATCCAAAACCCTGTAAATGCCTTGCATCAGGCGCACACCTTAGTCAACAAAGGAATCTGATGGGCAGTATCAAAAGTTCCTAGTACCCTGAACCCTAGCGTTTCCAAGCTCTGAGCTCTCCTTTCGACACGTATCGTAGCGTGAATTAGAAAGCCGTTTGGTCGCAAGGGCCTCATCATTCGTTTGATACTGCTAAATCGCGATGACATACTCGACAAAGATATCTCTTTATTGCATCTCAAGTTGAAATACTGAAGAATGAAGATTGGATACCACTCCGGTGCTGTTATCTCACACTCACACTCGTAATTATAGATTGGTTTAGGGTATTCAGATGTACTTCTAATTTTTCCTTGGAAAGCCATGGGGTATAACCCTCAACATCTTTTGGCAGAAATTAAGTATATCAATATCCAAATTTACAATTTACAATTTACTTTAAAGCTACGAAGATAGTTTTAGCTATCCTTCACAGCCATAGACTCGGTGGGGACATTAATTAAACTCTCTGCTATTCTATTCTTGGAAAGCTAATCTACCGCGTCTTTTCCTGTCCTTTGTGTCCTCTGCGGAGACTTGTATTAACTTCCCACATTGACTAACCGACAAAACTCCTTATTCCTCGGCTTCTCATTTCTCCCGCACCATACTCTACATCTGGTACGTACCCTCCCAGATACATTCTTAAACGCATCCTCCGCATTTCCAGAAGCGCTGCTCTATTACAGTTTAACCTCCTTGACATAGTAGTCCTAGTGACCAGTCTCAATACGGTCATAGCCCATCACAGATGGGATAATTCTTCCAGTGCCCAAGTACAACCCAGGTTTGCGTCACGAAAATAGGTGATGAAGGTAATGATTCGGAAACTCTAGCATCGTAACCCAATTGGTCTCAGTAGGATGATTTCAGTCAAAGTCTACAAGAAAATGGTAAAACTTTCCTTGAAAGCTGTTGATATTGCCATAAATTAAGATGATGATTGTGATTGAGAGAGATTTCTATATATTTTATTAAACATAATATACTCAGGCTCATTCACCTCGAGCCAATCAACCAGATTGTGTTCCTCTATATCTAGGCTAATCAGAATAATTACTCACTCGATTAATCTCTCCCAGTCATAGTTGCGTGTTTGGGTTCTTGTGTAGATTTCTAGTGACTATTCAATGATATTACTCCTATCAGTGAGACATAGTCATGATGATTCAACAAGTACAAACGATAAATCATGTCTGTGCATGAGTTAGTCCCATTATTTCTGCAAGTCGGGCTATGTATTCTCCCTTTTCATTTTAAATACTCATCACCGTCCCCGTCTCCATCCTTCGAATACATTCTCACGACATTATATTGATTGATTTAAATTCAAGTCTCGCCAGAGTCCTAGACTCTAAAAGACTTGTTTGGAACCTAAATAATTAGTTCTTCATTAGTTTAGAAAATTTTTCAAGGGAGATATCCCAACTTTACCAGAACACGACAATATATACACCGACAGTGTACTGGACATGGCGGCACACAAATCAGGTGGGAAAACCTTTGAAAATTGATAGAGAAATACTTTCAAAATTATTAATGATGTTTCTGACAAAGTAAATTGCCTTGAGAAATCGTGGGAACCGGTATTTTTGGGGATAATCTTTTCGCATTTTCGAGCATTGTGGGTACTACGACATGATTCACGATAGTTTTCTCGAACCAAGTGATAGTTATGACTATGTGGAGCGACAGAAGCCATGCAAGGGAGGTTTTTAGATAAAGCCGAGATAATTTCTACTTTTTTCTAGGGTGAAGTTGAATATCGCCGGCACGAATCCTGCAAACTGACCACATTTTAGGGTAGTACTCGCAAGCCACAGGTGTTGAGACTCCTACATGTTGGATACTTACGAGAGAGGGTCTACTCATATTTACAAACGGATGTCTCTCATAAAATTTCCTTTGAATAACATCTAGGATACAAGAGTCCGCCATTTCCAGACTTATACAACATTTATGCGAAAGTCACACAACCTAAAACAATAAATTGACAATAACTGTTGAAATTTTGAATCTAGTTGAGACCCAAAAATCACATCTTCGCCTCTCGTATGTCTTGAGGTTGTTGCCCTGCGAGTACGCAAAGGATAAAACCACAATTATCGCCGAGGAGCTCAGGCACATGAATCTTTATAGGTCTTTTTTAGGCCGCCTATGTCACTTAATGGCCCCGCATGATAATCCATGAATCCTCTCGAGCCGAATCTTTTTTTTTTTGCATTAGATTTTAATTGCGTATGTAGCTATCTAGCTATGACACAATTTCAAGGAAAAGTACAGAATGGATGATTCAACGTAAGGGAAGAGCACTCATGCCTCAGATTTCATTTGCAAGTACCACTGCGAAGTTATGATGGCTTTTTCTTCACCCCAAGTCAACCCTCATCCGTGAATACCCACCCAGGGGAACGTCTCAAAAACCCTGAGTTATCCAGACATGCCTCCATCATCTTTCAACTTTTCTCCGCGCGATATGTGATCTGAGGTGTCTCCTTCCCAAGTGGAGTAGGTGCCCAGGCTACTCAAACTATACCGGAGAACACCACCAGGAGGTGGACCACTTCACCTTCCATCGAGCCGAATCGATTGCGCTATTATAGCTGGGGCCCGCTTATTCCGTCTTCAGAGACGCGTCGTGATTCTTGACCGCGTGTCATCGAGGTTCAGTACTAGGGGTAGAGATAAATAATGACACCCAATTAGATACTGTATCTCCCAAGTGTTCTGGTTAAAAGTATTCCATGTATCCAGGAGTTAATTAAATTGTTGTATACAGAGTCCCCTTCAAAATCCTACACACTTCCCTCGACACGGAAGATAGCTATGCTCTATATTTAATGAAATAGCACTACGTGGTGGAATGTTTTCAGTCCTTAAACAATCAATCCTGGAAATTGAGTATCGCAAAATAGACTCGGAACAATTCTTGATCTATCTGAATGTCCATGATATGGGACAGCGCCGTAAGGTAGGTATCAGCTGCGCCAGCACGAGGTCAGGCGATATATGGCAGACAATCCTGGTTACCTGATAGCTTGATTTATTCCAGCACCATCTTTCTGGTAATACAACCTAGAAAGACTTTTCATTCAGTGCTCCGTTATTTGTCTATTTATCACGAAATCA